GATAGACTGCCCTGAATGTACTACTACTACTACTACTACTACTACTACTACTACGGGCTTAAGGGCAACAAGCATGGACAGAACTCTTGCCGGCTGGCATGTGCATGCTTCTTGAGGCCGAGGAAACAGAAGAGGAGGGGGATGAGCCGATGCCCGTCGCGGAGCACAGGCCCCGCCAGTAGTGTCGAGGTAGGTTCGACAGACAGGCCACCACCACCAGCAACGCAGAAGCAGCTTCAGCAGCATCAGCATAGCAACATCAACAATCAAAAGCGCTGTTGTAGCAATACTTGTGTGGCCTGGGTGTGATGAAATCAAGACAAGCAGAATAATTCTTGCAAAGGCCAAGCCACCTGGAGTATTCTCAGGGGTTTTATTTTGAGTGTGTGGTGGCCATTTGCTGCAAGTCTTTGTCACAATTCTTCAGACAGAGCCTGTAGCCACCTTAGTTGTTTTGCGCCTTCCTCCAAAAAAGACTTGCGGGAGGCTTGCACAAACTTGCTTCCACCCTGCACAATTTCACAGCTAATAATGTCTTCCCTCGCCAGGACACTGGAGCCTTCCCCCTATCAACAAGACAGCCATGCTAAGCAAATACGAACCGTTCCTGGGAGGTTCCTGGACATCGAGCCGCCTGTGGATGCAGTGACTCCCTCAGTTCCACGTCTACGTTCATCACCCGCTGTGGCTATCTGATGCTATCTGTAACCCTGCAAGCTCTGAACCTGCCTGCATGTTCCCCTGACTTCTAAACTCTAAGCCTCCAAGCCCCGAACCCCTTAACCACAAAATCCACTGAACCCGCAACCCTCTAGCAGTGTCCCGTGTGTGGATCCGCCACCTCTCCGCAGTAAAACCGACACCCAGGCCCAAGCCTTAAAACCCTGAGCTTTATTGTGTTTTAAGGGCTCAGGGTTGAGAGCCCTAAACTTTAAGCCCCCAACCTGCAACTCCAACATCCCTGCTTTGAAGTCGGGCCGGGGCGGTTCAAGTGATTAGGGGTCCCTTTCTGGGCGTCCTTGCGGCAAGGAGCTTGGGCTGAGATTCAGGTTGCCCTTTTCCTGAAACTCTCGTAGAATCCTAGAAGCACTAAGCCCAAAACCTAAACCCCCGCTCCTGAAGCCCCCCCACCTGAACCCATAAGCCTTCAGAGCATGTGCGACCTTGTGGGGGATAGTAAGAAGATTCCGTCTGCACTTCCTTAGACAGTAGTTGTAGTTCTACATACCCGCAACGCCCTATTCTAGTTGGTAAGCCCCCTGATTTTACATACCCCTATAGAACCCGTGTAAAAGCTCGGAATCTCTCATTGCAGAAGCCTGAAAGGAAGCCTTGCGGGCCAATCTTTATTGAAGTTACCCGAAACCCTAAAAACACCCTGCAATGCGGGCACGTCCTTGCTAAGTAGGAGGCAAAAAAAACACCCTATTTCGGGAAGCTGCGTTAAAGCCTAAAAGCCCCTTATGCAGGGACGTTTCAGACAGGCAGCCTCCGGAATGGCGGCCTTGAGGAAGCTCTTTGAGGAGGCTCCCTGAAGTTAGGGCTGTACTTGGAGGTTCATGGGTAGTTATAAGTGGGCTTATAAGGTTCCTTTGTAGGGTTCCATAGGGTTTAGGGTTTAGGGGTAGTTATAAGTGGGGTTATAAGTCCCCGAATATGGGTTATAAGTATAATTTCCCTACAACTACCCATGAACCTGCAAGTAGGAGTTGCCTGAACCAGCCAGAACCAACTCGTCAGGTTCCCTCTTTTGGATGCCCGTATACCTTAGGGTTTAGGGTTTAGGGTTTAGGGTTTTTAGTTTTTAGGGTTTAGGGTTTAGGGTTTAAGTAGATTATGGTTGGTTAAGGTTGGGTTCTGGGAGTCTGGTTTAAGGGGAAGTTATTCAGAGGCTTGGGTTTGACGTGGGCCTCTACGAAAAGAGAAGGTTGCCCTTTTAGGGGTTCATTTGAGGACTATGGTGGCGGAAGTTACTTGGAGGATCATGGGACTTAGTAAATAGGGTTATAAGTCC